GCTGATTTGCAGATACCGTCTCGACCGATGTACTTTTTACCTTAGGAGAGCCGTTTCACCTGGTCTGATTTGAAGCATTTCTTCCGAATTAAGAGACACACCGGTAGGCCTACAGGTTTGAGGATACTGCAAAACATCACTTTTAGACGATCTATGCTGATGTGCGAGACACACTGCCTATAAGCGGTTCTTTAAAAAAAATACACGCATTAGACATAAAACAGGTTTCAGTGCTGCAGGAATAAAAATTGATTAGACCGAAGTTGTAACAATTATTCTTCTAAAAAAAGAACTATGTATCATGTAATATTAAGGGCTTTTCGACTTTAACCGCACGTACATGCGTACCTGTTTGAGCGTACCCACGGATGTGACACTAAGACTTAACTTTAGAGTATAATTAAGTCTTATGCTAAAAGGAGAACAAGAAAAATTTATTATATCCAAGCAGTCTGACAACCGCAACCTGGTTTCTTTTTTGGATATCTTTAGTGCTCCGTACAATTCATTATTTTTCAAGTATATGGCTGCACGTAGCTCTTGTCTCGTTCGAGTTGATTTTAGAAGAAGAATTGTTTTGAAATTGTACGAGTAATTGCTTTCTTTCCTTCATTAAGCAAGTTGTTTTGAAAGATAAAAATACACAAAACAGGCCCTACTGTGCACCAAAAAAAAAAAAATGACTTCAAAATCAGTGGCATCAACACGAACTGAACAATTCACTTCATCGCCAAACCCATCATTTTCTTTGTAAAACTCAAAACATTGGAATCTGCGTTCAGGGACCCAAACGAAAAGAAAGTCGCCAGTAGCAGCACCAGTTTCTTACACGGGGTACGTAAGACCCTGGCACTCCTACATCGAGGTAGTGCAGCTTCAGTGAAGAGTCGGTGCTCGCAGGTCGAGCGCACTCTCGGATTCACCATGTGTTCCTCAACGGGGAGTGTGTACAGGAATGCAGTGAAAATATTGCTGTTATTATGGACCTGGGGTTTACCGTCATGTCGGAGCGCAATGAAGGTCCAAGGGTATGGAGTTGCACCCGGGTGAGTTTGAATTTAAAGGGGGTGAAGATACCCTGATGTTACAGGAAAGGCTAAGGAGATACACATGCTAAGTTTTTTTCCTTCTTCTTCTTAAAATTTGGAGGGGGGAGGCTAGGATGTACCTCCGAGTAACGTTGCGATGAAAACCGTCAAGTGGCTAATTTAATGGACGGAGGGATTTTTTTAAAGTCAACACATACTTTTATTCTAAATTCTCTGTTTACCTTGAAAATATTTACCTTGAAAATATTTACATTTCTTATTCGTGGCACGTTTTTCCTCACACGTTTGAGCTTTGAAATATCGTTCAAGCTTTAAAATATTGCTTCTAAGCCTAAATCTTATATCAAATGTTTATAATATTCATTATAAAGACAAAATGTAAGCAAAAATTTATATTCCAAATATTTTCCAAGATTTATAAACTTAATTTAACTGTTAATCGAATTTTAGTTATGCATCTGTCATGCTTTAAAATTCCACTCCATACACTGAATACACTATATAGAAGAATAGTTGTGCATTGACAAAGTGGGAGTTTAAGACCCCATTCCCAGAGATTAGATCGATCCAACTAGATCAACCTAACTCCCTGGGGGTTCACGCTAAATAGCTGTCAGCCGAGCGGGCACGAAAGTTAATTACCCCCTTACAGCTTGTAGTAGGCGGGACGGACATTTAAGCCGGATTATCTGACAGTTATCTAGTGAGACTCCCCACGGGGATAGATCGATCTAAAATCTATGGGAATGCGCCCTAAAGTGTTTACAAAAAAAGGGCGATTATATAATTAGGGCTATCCATACTGGAACTTATCTTTAATCACAATGATCAGAACGTCAGAAATTTGAAGACGAGATAGAATGTTTCGATTTTAAATTGCTCTAACATAAATATTTGCAGCATGAAATAACGACATTAGTTTACAGCGTTTTTAACCAAGTAATTTGCACAGGTAACCCACAGTATATTTATTTTGGAGCATTAATTGAGTTAAAGGAGGTATTCTTAAAACTACAAATTAACAGTATTCAAAAATTCAAGTCAAAATCAAATTAGATTAATTTTTACTACGTCGCCAGGCTATGCTGCGCATTCTAACATCCAAATAGAAAGTATGTTCTATAGCTTGTAGACATATTATATACTGCAGTTTGTAACATTCAGCAGCAATTTTCAATGTTCAATAGCATTATGTAAGCCCAATGAAATAATTGGGGAAGTGAGTATAGTTGTTCCCCTCTACCACTTTCGATGAGATGAAAGGTTGCCTTACCCTGAGTTTCACACCATTTTTATTGGAATGTCTGAGGGGGCATCTTGTAGGCTCGCTGGGTCATAATTTATCTCAGATTTTAGAAATATCCACAGACTTAGTCAGAGACATATCTGTGAATATCTAATGGGAAAACCTCTCTGTTGGAAACTGTGTTTTTGAGCCTAAATTGATACCTCTCAATTCAGGTGTCCAAATCGCCGCTTAAAAATAAAGAAGAATCCTTTTTTAAAACTATCCTCAAATTATGAAAGAATCTGGAATTGAACGCCAGGGTGCTCAAGACTAGACGATGTACGGTCTATTTACTCAGCCACCGGAGGTCGAAATTCGAGAGGTTTATCCTGCAAAAGTGCTGCTTCAAGATAACGAGACGGCTTTTTCTCACGTGCGCAGCAAATATTTTTTTATTCAAAATTATCAAAAATAATGGTGCAAATAATAGATAAAATATGTAAAATCTATGGCAGAAAATTGTTAGGGAATACAACTGTTGAGAAACGGAACTCGTTCTTTTTTCAAATGAAAATATCAATGAAATAGCCCTTTTTGAAAAGGCAACCTAAGAACGTATTATAGATTATAATTGTTTTCCTAGGCAGATTGAAACCAACGGGCGAACAATTGTTTTATTGTAATTGATGTAACATATAGCTGGTCAGATAATGGAGGTGTCAGCAAGAGAGAATTGTCAGCGCAACCTGTGTAAATATAAATATATTTTGATTGAAATACAGCCAATCTAGGACCCAATGTATGGATATGGTCTGCAGGCCAAACAAGTCTCAAAAATATTAGTCCCACAGCGGAACAGTTTATTCTAAAGGTTGTCGTTTTATGGACTTCAATAACATTAAAAAAAATTTTGTATGTTGTGAAAAATTCAACCGATTTTTGAGGGGTTTTGATATTTTAATTGGCTTCATTGACATTGTATAATGTGTTACGACTAGTTATGAGGCCTACTCCGCGAAGGCAATGTAAACTTTGTCTAAACTTACTATTGGTGTTATTTTACCCCCTCCCCTCCCCCTTAAACCGCTTCCTCAGTCCTTACATTCCCCTATATTGCAGAGATTATCGTATTTCACCTAGATATAGAGTTATTCAAGTGATCTGTTTGGGACAATTTGATCTATTCTGTGATCGTTTCCGATTCTGCATGGCGTCACTGTTTCGAGAGGATACAGGTGCTGAACAGAAAAGTAAAGGAGTACCTTTCTTAGATCTGAGTGCATTGCGCCATAAAAGAAAAGACCCTCTTCTGGTCGGCCCATTTACATTTCCCCTTTAAAAGCAATTCTGTGTTTTTTAGCGATGAGTATGTGGTCTCGTATATCACGGTGCAAAGAAGGCAATGCAATGATCCCGTCTTATTTGACCCATGCACTTAACAAAGAATGCAGTAGTAAATTAATTTAGAATTTTCTGGAATTAATGCGGTTGATATTGTTCACTTCACGCTGAGCTCGAGGGTGGTCACCATCGACAACTGCGATCGGAGGTTGATTCACATTTTTTTTATTACAATGATCACATTGATTCACATTTTTTTTATTACAATGATCATCACTTTGGATGCACGTCACAGATTTCTTGAACATATTTTATTAACTTATGTTATTTATAATTAAGGAATGATTTTTTTTCCTTTTCTTAAAATCTGCTTGGGCTCTAACCTACGTTTCATTGCGCTAAAGAACCCAAGCGTCATTCGAAAACAATGAGATACCTTGCTCACAAAAGTCTTATCTAGGTTTTAAAACGTAAAACGCTGTGGTATTTATTAAATCATTTAAATTGCAACTGACTGTGGAGAGCTCGCCATCAATTGAGAGAAACTGTCGAAACTAAACGAAAAAAATTCATATATCGTTATTATGATTCCTTGCTATAGTTTTTAAGGGCAAAATAAAGATAGCGGTTTCTATAAATCCCCAAATATTTTCTATTTCTATAGGAGACACGTGTGCGCTAGAGACCGCTTCGTGAACATTCCTGTACAAGTGACGCAGACATACTGCAAGCCGGAGTACAAGAGATACTTGCATTCCTGCAATAACGGCTACTATGGCATGTGCTCGACTTTCAGGTTAAGTATTCCATGCTATTGAAAACTTAAGCTTGAAACAAGGGGGTTTATGAAAATATATTGAGAATTTCCTATTGCTTTATCCTGAAACGAAATAACAGTAGTTGCAATAATACGAAAAGTTACAAATCGAACATTTTGTCCACTTTGTAAATTTACACCCTTAGAAAAGTGAAGCTTCCGAACTAGATATTTTATACATTTGCTTGGTTCCTCGTTGTTATATTTTTATTAACGTACTTGGTTTTTGAAAACCTGTAAAAGCAAATTAACTCGGTTATATGTTTTTGAAGAATTTCGTGCGTCCTTGAGAACAACAAATAGAATTAGATGCAGAGGCATTCATTTTCAGTCATTGCATCGCATCTATTTTTTTAACTATCCCGTTATCTATTTATTCCTCTCTCTGTTGATGATCTGTTTATTTTCTAACTTATTTATTTTGTTTTCTTACCAGGTTGACTTACCAGCTAGCTTACAGAAAGGTCTATCAAAACCACGTTCAGAAGCAGAGAGTATATAACTGTTGTCATGGCTGGAAAAGGGTCACGCCCTACACTACTTCCTGCATGAAACGTGCGTATCAATGGCGGGTTTAGGGGGGGTCAGGCTAGGGGGAACCTGACCCCCCCCCCCCCCCCCCACCACACCTTCAATTCTTGAAAAAAAATAACACCAATGGTCTCTTCTAAAAATAGAATTTTGACTAGCTGAATCACACCGTACCAAATGGCACCGTTCTCCCTCTAATACCAAATTGGGGGGGGGGGGGGGAGGGTTGGCTTCGCATCCGCGGACCCCCTTCAAATAATCCTGGATCCGCCCTTGCGTAAAGTATCTGTCCCCTTGTAGCTCAACAATTTAGATTAATTTCTTTTTACTTCGTATTGTTTTCTTTTCTCTCTTTCTTCCTCTCTCTCTTCTTTTTCCCCTAATCCCACTTATTATTCGTATAGTCTACAAATTTTGACTACAGACTAATGCAGCGGGTCGCCGTAGTTCAAAAAGAAATAAGATAATTACATAGGACATATTTACATGTACATGTACGTTTAAATTACTATGAATCAACACGCTAAGGCGTGTTTTTATTTATTTATTTATTTATTTATTTATTTATTTCCAGCTGTGTGCAGTAAAGAATGTGGCAGTGGTTTTTGCGTCCAGCCAGACAGATGCAAGTGTCCTGCTGGGTGGACGGGGAAAGACTGCAAGACAGGTTTGCACTCTTAAGTTTTCAGATCATTTCAATTCAAATTAAAACGGTCAAACATTTCATCAACAACAAATACGTATCATTTCTGGGAAAGACATCTTTTTAAATATGATAATTTGACTTTTTCTGAGGAGGTGGAAGGTAGTTGATTTGAATCCGAATAAATTTTAACATGTGCCGAAATTTTTTCGACAATTATTTTTCCGCAAATCGTAAACAAGTTTCAAGCCTTTGTGTCATTCAAAATTAAAAATTAGAATTTAAAATTAAATCCATTTTTCCTGACAGATATAGACGAATGTAAGTCTGGTGAGCATGGCTGCTCCCACAAATGCGTCAACACAGAAGGCAGTTTTTCATGTACCTGCAGTGATGGATTTTCTCTTGGTGCGGATGGAAAATCCTGTGAATGTAAGAGCTGATATTGGTAAAACTGAATTTACTCAATATTTCTTCTTCAACTTGGGGTTTATATAAATATTCTGAGTCTGATTTCCTGGCTAATCTATTGAGCTTCCACGATTATTTTTTAATTATCATGTTAATTTATTCAATGTAAATAAACGATTACTGTTCCCTTCACTGTTTTAATTTTGCTGACACATTAGCCATTTGAATATGAATAAAAAATATGGTGAGATTTATGTGCTTTTTGGGGCCTGATTTGTTCTTCAGCTGCATTTCTTATTAGTGTTTCTTTGTTTAACGCTTTATTCGTTTTCTCTTTCAGTTTGTTTGTCATGCTCCAAAGAATATAAATTGTTGGATAAAAAACTCCAAAAACTTTCTTCTGAAGTGGAGAATCTTCAACAAGAAAATGTGAGTTTTAGAAAAATACTGAACATGATTTTTCATTCAGAAACCAATCACAAATAATTCTAATGATAATAATAATAATAAAGTCGGAATTAACGAATATGTTGGTACCGGTACGAAAGCTAAGAACAGAAAGGATATTTCTAGATTTGAGCGTTGTAGACACAAATTGTTGGAAAAGGCCGTGTGTAATCTCAAAAAAAGAAGGTGCGACTTTGTAAGGTTCAGAGTAAAAACTTTAGAAGATTCAATATCAGGGCATCACTGTGATGTTATTTTACCTGATTTAATAAATGCCTTATTTCAGAAAGCGCTGAAAAGTGACTTGAAAGCAATTCTTCACAATGCTACAAAAGTGGACTTAGATCCCATCGGATTAAAGGAATTCTTAACACCAGAAACTTCGTCAACGAAACCGACAACGAAAGAAGCCGCTGCAACAGTGGTGATCACAACCGGCAAACTGCCGCCTGTCGCAACTACCACAATGCAACCAACACGTTCTCCACAAGAGTCCGAGGTCTCCTTTATATTTTCTAACCTCAAAGACATGAAGACGGAGATGGAGACCAGGTTTTACTCGATGAGTGCTCAGCTTTCTGTGCTTGAAGAAAGACTATCAGACTGTAAGTCGTTTCTTTTCGTTGTATGATTTTAATATCTAAGTGTAATTTCGAACATTTAGATATTTAGATAGGTATTTAAAGAAATATAGTTTATTGAAGCCGAATATATCACTGCCGTGGTGATGAAGCACATTAAATGTTTTACAGAAAGATATATGCCATAGAGGATAGAATATGATAATAGAAATATGATCATGGAAGACGGAGTTCACGTTATTCTTTTGACCATCAGCATGTTTTTGGTTCTATTGTCCGATGAAGATGGTTTCATAAGTTTAGGTGGAGGATATACATGTAGGTCCTGCATATAGAGAATGCCTACCTGTACAATTATAAAAACAGTTTGAAATAAGAGCTTGGCTCGTATGAAGTGGTTTTTGTATTGATTCATTTTTCAATATTTAATTGCAGGTATTTGCACCGGAAGGAGAAAAAGGCACAATTCAAAGAGAAAATTTTGGAGGAGTCACAAAAATCAGAATAAAACACCAACCAATTGATACGGAAAAATAACCTAGTCAAACAAGATGTCAGAAATGAAAAAAATAAGTTTATTATAAAGTAGATTTATACAGGAAGAGAAGTGTTTAGTATTGAACAAATATATAATTCATTTTGATTGTTTTTTATTAATTAATTAAGAAATTGATCAATTTTGACCAAGATTCTTAACTTTGCTATAATCACTTGTTTTTCCGTCACTTGTCTCTGTATAATCTCTCTATTGTCATCAAAAATATAGGATTACAAGAAAAAAGTAAATATTGTGGCAAGGAAGGATAAGCATAATTGAAAATGTAATGTTTCCACTAGGTCTTGAAACCTCTGTTAAACCCTGAAACTGAAGTTTTATAATGTTTCTTTTCTTCTACCTCAAAAAATTTAAGTATGATGCATCTTAGTTTAATATCATGACAACTCTGATTTTTTTTATTCCCCTGTTTGCTTTGTCGAAAACCTGCCCACAGTGCTATTTTTCAGCATAAAGAAAATTAAAGCCAAGTATTTGATTTCCATCTTGCGTTGAACGCTATTGTTAATGAAAAAATAGTTTGAATAATTCATGTGTATTTGTGCACAGGCAAGTCTCTTGTTGACACGTTGCCAGTCAAAACCAGCATTACTTTATATTATTAGTGACTGTGACAAATTAAATGTACGCACATTTTTAAATGTATTATAATTATTTCATTACATTGACGCTTTGTCTTCACCATCCCAATCTTCTTCTAAAGTCATTTATTACCTTAAAACCCAGCATTTTCATTATTTGACGACCATCTCTTTTCCCACGACAAAGATTCGGAACTGTCTGCCCTACGGTTTGCTGAAGGAACGTTTTTTACTGGTGCCTGCAATAGACCTCTTTCTGTTTCCTCTGAAGATCCAGTTACTGAAGAATCTTGGGGCGGGTAACGATCGGGCTTCTCTTCCATTCCGCCTCCTGCCTGGGTTTGACGTGGAAGATGTCCTGTTCTGGCTGATTCGACTGAAGGCTTCGCACAGTCGAACTCGGCCGGCATCTGATATATAGTGAGAACGGATTATTTCCCAACAAATAATGTCTGTCATCTATCAATATTAGAATTTGACAGAGCGGGGGATTTTTGCGTGCGATTATTGCCCTCCCCCCCCCCCCCTCGAGAAAAGGCTTTTAGTATATGATAACATATTTGCATTTTGTATGTAACAATTTACGATTTCTTTTACTAAGATTGAATATGTACATAAATTAAACGAGTGTATAATTACAAGTTTATCAAAAAATGTGAGGTTCCTTTTGCTAGATAGAAATGTTCAAAATAATTCCAAATTCATCCCTTACTTTGAAAAGTCTCAGAAAAACTCACCATTACACATTTCGTATAACATCTCTACACGCTCCACATTGGATTTGCTCTCTTCTTGCAACGCGTCAGCATTATTCTTAATTTCTCTTAAATCCCAAACAAGCTCTTGCAAGTTCTCATAATGAACATCTCTCTTGAGTGGTTCTTTGCAGTCCTTCACCACGTCCTCCAAACGCACTGCAACATCCGACAAGTTGCCCAGAAAAGGAAGAAACTGCATGTACGTCACTACGACGAAGTCTGCCGAAAGGCCACGGATTTTGTCGGAGGCATTCGAGTGAAGTCGGGCTGATTCCGATATCTTTCCGAGTGTCACTGTCAGCCCCTCCTTAGTATTGATGTCTACGGCTTTCCGCATGTCTGCAAGAGCTTGGTTGATGAGAGCTGTATCCTGCACAGCGCTGCAGGGGATCTGGAGGGCAGTGATGATTTTCATCAGTTTTGACATCCATTCGATCACCTGACAATATAATAAATTAATAAATAAATAAATAAGGGGTCCTAAGTTTAAAAAAAAAACGCTTCATAATTTTGACTGTTAATGAGATATTATAATATGTAAACATTATGTATAATCTATTGGCCTAATCAAAGAATATTCGTCTTTTGAGAGAGAGAGAGAGAGAGAGAGAGAGAGAGAGGGGAGGTATGTGACCGGTAAAGAAACCGAGTAAAAAACTATCAACACAAACAAACAAACAAAAAGCTTGAAAAGACTATTTTTCAATGCCCAGACAAAAAACCTATGCGTGAGAATAAGTTTTTTTTTCATAACAAGTACATGTATATCTTAAATTGTTCTTTAAAAAGGACCAAATACCTTCTTTTTCTCTCAACTTGCTTCTTCGATGACGGAATTTGATTCTCGATCTTATGAATGCTATTATTATAACACCATCAATCTTCGTATCCCATAGATACATATTCTCTTTTATGCTCGCCACAAACGACATGTTCAAACGACATATTAATTTCAATCTTTCATTTGCAACTTTTTACTTCGAATAACCGTCGTCAATGTTATCGTGAATTATCTTTACCGATGTCCTCCTTATAAACCTTTCTAAAATGTTTATTATGGCGCTTTTTCTCCCCAGTTTATTATTTGCTTCAGTTTAATAGACAGCGTAAATTGGAAATGTACATTTCTTGTATCTGACAATCACTTTCTGTGAATTGTTTGAATGTGGAAAGGAGGTATATCATGACATTTTTGACGTGTCTTACCTGTTGTATTTAAAAACAAAAATAAATAAGCATAATGAAAGAGTTTATTATATAAATATAATGAAATATAATGAAAGTTAAGAGAAAAAGAAAGTATTTGGTTTTTCTTATAGGAAAATTTAAAATATACACGTGCTTGTCCATGAAAAAACATTTTCTGATGTTTTTTGTCTAGGCATAAAAGACATCGTCCTGTCAAGCTTTTTATTCGTTTGTTTGTGTTGATAGTTTTTTTTTTTTTTTTTTTTTTTTTTTTTTTTTGCTCGGTTTCTTTACCGGTCACATTAAATAAGCACAATAACGGAAGACAAGGGGAATCTACCTTCTCTGACCAATCCACTGCACTCTTGCTCCACCTATTTCTTTCTTCGAATTCCTCAACCACGCTGGTGCCCAGATATTGCCAAAGATTTTCCAGCGCCGGCCACCGTTCATCCAGCTTCACCCATTCATTGGATGACTCCACCAAAGCAGCCGACAGGGCCTTGCCGTCGTCATGGATGGTTTCGTCCAGTCCGTCACGAACAAATTTGATCAGCTCACCTAGATTTTTTAAATAAAAAATCGCCTGCCATGTTTGAGCAGCTGATAATGATACAGTGTATTTTGTTATATAGTCAAATTATGTCTATAGCGTGATTTAATACCATTGGTTTAAAAGACATATCGATTTTTCTTTTTTTTTTTTACTCCGTGTATACTTTAGTATTAAGTACGTCACATTATAAGTTATAAAGTAAATCAGTTTTTTTCAAAAAAATTATTTATGAAGCAAAATTAGCAAAACTACAATTAAATATAATGGTAGATTGCTTGTAGTAGACTTAATACTACTTACTGCTTGATATCTGCGCGTATACCGACGACCATAGTGCAATTAACATTACAAGAACGATGAAATATTTACTTTTACGCGACATCTTTACTCTCAGATCCACAACATAAATTGCTGCCGAAGCTTTCGCTCATTCTTATTATCAATAAGTTTCTGGATTGCAGCTCCGACTTTGACGTCAAAAATTTCAAATTCGAAGAAAACCAACTTCACCTGTCGTGAGAACATTTAATGGGACAAAGACTGCACGTTGATAAGCGCAAGGAAAATAAATTAAATTTCAAATTCATCTGAACAATATCACTTCTCATCGATAGAGGAACACATTAAACTGAAAGGAATATCAGCGATACAATCGCTGTCTCGTTGGTACACTTATGATAAACATTCTCCAAGTTCAGATGTGAAATTGAGAGACCTGAATTGCATTTATTTCTATGGGAAAATGTTTGGAACAACCGCAGAATACTTCTTGTTTTGAAAATGAGATGAGTTGAAGCATTTTAGTTGACAAATTTTAGTTACCAACAGAGCTATATGTGACGGTTTGCCCTAACCCTTATGCTGACAAGCACACACATGCACTTCAGGGGCGGATTTAGGCCGTCTTCTGGGTCTTCCGGAAGACGGTCAGATTTTAAAGTTTACATTGACGGGTATCTAATATTTTCTGTCGGAAGACGGTCAAAAATGGAGGATGGATTAACAAAAATAATTTGGAAGACTGTCAGGAAATATCTCTGGATCCGCCCCTGCACTTGTAAGCGCACGCACTCGCTAACACTCACGCTCATAATCAGGGGCTACATNTATTTATTTATTTATTTATTTATTTATTTATTTATTTATTTATTTATTTCCAGCTGTGTGTAGTAAAGGATGTGGGAGTGGTTTTTGCGTCCAGCCAGACAGATGCAAGTGTCCTGCTGGGTGGACGGGGAAAGACTGCAAGACAGGTTGGCACTCTTAAGTTTTCTGATCATTTCAATTCAAATTAAAACGGTCAAACATTTCATCAACAACAAATACGTATCATTTCTGGGAAAGACATCTTTGTAAATATGATAATTTGACTTTTTCTGAGGAGATGGAAGGTAGTTGATTTGAATCCGAATAAATTTTAACATGTGCGGAAATTTTTTCGACAATTATTTTTCCGCAAATCGTAAACAAGTTTCAAGCCTTTGTGTCATCCAAAATTAAAAATTAGAATTTAAAATTAAATCCATTTTTCCTGACAGATATAGACGAATGTAAGTCTGGTGAGCATAGCTGCTCCCACAAATGCGTCAACACGGAAGGCAGTTTTTCATGTACCTGCAGTGATGGATTTTCTCTTGGTGCGGATGGAAAATCCTGTGAATGTAAGAGCTGATATTGGTAAAACTGAATTTACTCAATATTTCTTCTTCAACTTGGGGTTTATATAAATATTCTGAGTCTGATTTCCTGGCTAATCTATTGAGCTTCCACGATTATTTTTTAATTATCATGTTAATTTATTCAATGTAAATAAACGATTACTGTTCCCTTCACTGTTTTAATTTTGCTGACACATTAGCCATTTGAATATGAATAAAAAATATGGTGAGATTTATGTGCTTTTTGGGGCCTGATTTGTTCTTCAGCTGCATTTCTTATTAGTGTTTCTTTGTTTAACGCTTTATTCGTTTTCTCTTTCAGTTTGTTTGTCATGCTCCAAAGAATATAAATTGTTGGATAAAAAAATCCAAAAACTTTCTTCTGAAGTGGAGAATCTTCAACAAGAAAATGTGAGTTTTAGAAAAATACTGAACATGATTTTTCATTCAGAAAGCAATCACAAATAATTCTAATGATAATAACAATAAAGTCGGAATTAACGAATATGTTGGTACCGGTACGAAAGCTTAGAACAGAAAGGATATTTCTAGATTTTAGCGTTGTAGACCCAAATTGTTGGAAAAGGCCGTGTGTAATCTCAAAAAAAGAAAGGTGCGACTTTGTAAGGTTCAGAGTAAAAACTTTATAAGATTCAATATCAGGGCATCACTGTGATGTTATTTTACCTGATTAAATAAATGCCTTTTTTCAGAAAGCGTTGAAAAGTGACTTGAAAGCAATTCTTCACAATGCTACAAAAGTGGACTTAGATCCCATCGGATTAAAGGAATTCTTAACACCAGAAACATCTTCAACGAAACCGACAACGAAAGAAGCCGCTGCAACAGTGGTGATCACAACCGGCAAACTGCCGCCTGTCGCAACTACCACAATGCAACCAACAAGTTCTCCACACGAGTCCGAGGTCTCCTTTATATTTTCTAACCTCAAAGACATGAAGACGGAGATGGAGACCAGGTTTTACTCGATGAGTGCTCAGCTTTCTGTGCTTGAAGAAAGACTATCAGACTGTAAGTCGTTTCTTTTCGTTGTATGATTTTAATATCTAAGTATAATTTCGAACATTTAGATATTTAGATAGGTATTTAAAGAAATATAGTTTATTGAAGCCGAATATATCACTGCCGTTGTGATGAAGCACATTAAATATTTTACAGAAAGATATATGCAATAGAGGATAGAATATGATAATATAAATATGATCATGGAAGACGGAGTTCACGTTATTCTTTTGACCATCAGCGTGTTTTTGGTTCTATTGTCCGATGAAGATGGTTTCATAAGTTTAAGTGGAGGATATACATGTAGGGCCTGCATATAGAGAAGGCCTACCTGTACAATTATAAAAATGGTTTGAAATAAGAGATTGGTTCGTATGAAGTGGTTTTTGTATTGATTCATTTTTCAATATTTAATTGCAGGTATTTGTACCGGAAGGAGAAAAAGGCACAATTCAAAGAGGAAATTTTGGAGGAGTCACAAAAATCAGAATAAAACACCAACCAATTGATACGGAAAAACAACTTAGTCAAACAAGATGTCAGAAATGAAAAAAATAAGTTTATTATAAAGTAGATTTATACATGAAGAGAAGTGTTTAGTATTGAACAAATATATAATTCATTTTGATTGTTTTTTATTAATTAATTAAGAAATTGATCAATTTTGACCAAGATTCTTAACTTTGCTTTAATCACTTGTTTTTCCGTCACTTGTCTCTGTATAATCTCTCTATTGTCATCAAAAATATAGTATTACAAGAAAAAAGTATATATTGTGGCAAGGAAGGATAAGCATAATTGAAAATGTAATGTTGCCACTGGGTCTTGAAACCTCTGTTAAACCCTGAAACTGAAGTTTTATAATGTTTCTTTTCTCCTACCTCAAAAAATTTAAGTACGACGCATCTTAGTTTAATACCATGACAACTCTGATTTTTTTATTCCCGTGTTTGCTTTATCGAAAACCTGCCCACAGTGCTATTTTTCAGCATAAAGCCAAGTATTTGATTTCCATCTTGCGTTGAACGCTATTGTTAATGGAAAAATAGTTTGAATAATTCATGTGTATTTGTGCACAGGCAAGTCTCTTGTTGACACGTTGCCAGTCAAAACCAGCATTACTTTATATTATAGTGACTGTGACAAATTAAATGTACGCACATTTTAAAATGTATTATAATTATTTCATTACATTGACGCTTTGTCTTCACCATCCCAATCTTCTTCTAAAGTCATTTATCACCTTAAAACCCAGCATCATTTTCATTATTTGACGACCATCACTTTTCCCACGACATAGATTCGGAACTGACTGCCCTACGGTTTGCTGAATGGACGTTTTTTACTGGTGCCCGCAAGAGACCTCCCTCTGTTTCCTCTGAACATCCAGAAGAAGCTTGGGGCGGGTAATGATCGGGCTTCTCTTCCATTCCGCCTCCTGCCTGGGTTTGACGTGGAAGATGTCCTGTTCTGGCTGATTCGACTGAAGGCTTCGCACAGTCGAACTCGGCCGGCATCTGATATATAGTGAGAACGGATTATTTCCCAACAAATAATGTCTGTCAGCTATCAATATTAGAATTTGACATAGGTGGGGATTTTTGCGTGCGATTATTGCCAACACCCCCCCCCCCCCTCCCACCACCCCCACCCCCGAGAACAGGACTTTAGTATATGATAAAATATTTGCATTTTTTACGTAACAATTTACGATTTCTTTTATTAAGATTGAATATGTGCATAAATGACACAAGTGTATAATTACAAGTTTATCCACATATGTGAGGTTTCTTTTGCTATATAGAAATGTTCGAAATAATTCCAAATTCATCTCTTAATTTGAAAAGTCTCAGAAAAACTCACCATTACACATTTCGTATAACATCGCTACACGCTCCACATTGGATTTGCTCTCTTCCTGCAACGCGTCAGCATTATTCTTAATTTCTCTTAAATCCCAAACAAGCTCTTGCAAGTTCTCATAATGAACATCTCTCTTGAGTGGTTCTTTGCAGTCCTTCACCACGTCCTCCAAACGCACTGCAACATCCGACAAGTTGCCCAGAAAAGGAAGAAACTGCATGTACGTCACTACGACGAAGTCTGCCGAAAGGCCACGGATTTTGTCGGAGGCATTCGAGTTCAGTCGGGCTGATTCGGATATCTTTCCGAGTGTCACTGTCAGCCCCTCCTTAGTATTGATGTCTACGGCTTTCCGCATGTCTGCAAGAGCTTGGTTGATGAGAGCTGTATCCTGCGCAGCGCTGCAGGGGATCTGGAGGGCAGTGATGATTTTCATCAGTTTTGACATCCATTCGATCACCTGACAATATAATAAATAAATAAATCAATCAATAAATAAATAAGGGGGCCTAAGTTAAAAAAATACTTCATAATTTTGACTGTTGGTAAGATATTCTAAACTTCATGTATAAGATATAGGCCTTATTAAATATGTTTGTCTTTTGAGAGAGAGAGAGAGAGAGAGAGAGAGAGAGAGAGAAGGGGAGGGAGGGATGTGAACGGTAAACAAACCGAGTAAAAGCAATCAACACGAATAAACAAACAAACAAACAAACAAAAAACTTGACAAGACGATGTCTTTTATGCCCAGACAAAAAACACAAGAATAAGTTTTATTTTCATAGCAAGTACGCGTATATTTTAAATTGTTCTTCAAGAAGGACCAAATACCTTCTTTTTCTTTCAACTTGCTCTCTCGACAGATTTTGGTTCCCGATCTAATCAAATGATATAATTACAACATCATCAATTCGCGTATCCCATAGATACATATTCTCTATAATGCTCGCCAGAAACGACATGTTCAAACGACATTTTAATTTTAATCTTTCATTTGCAACTTTTTACTTCGAATAACCGTTGTCAGTGTTATCGTGAATTATCTTTTTGCGAGTTTCTCCTTATAAGCCTTCCTAAAAGGTTTATTATGGCGCTGTTTCTGCCCACCTTTTATAAGTAAAAGAGATGACCCCGCATTACACAAAATGAATCAATTATTTTACGTATCAGGTTAAAAATTATTGATAGCTTTTTACTCGGTTAGTTTACCGGTCACATTAAATAAGCACACTGACGGAAGACAAGGAGAATTTACCTTCTCTGACCAATCCATTGCACTCTTGCTCCATCTAATTCTTTCTTCGAATTCCTCAACCACGCTAGTGCCCAAATATTGCCAGAGATTTTCCAGCGCCGGCCACCGTTCATCCAGCTTCACCCATTCATTGGATGACTCCACCAAAGCAGCCGACAGGGCCTTGCCGTCGTCATGGATGGTTTCGTCCAGTCCGTCACGAACATATTTGATCAGCTCACCTAGATTTTTTAAATAAAAAAGGGCCTGCCATGTTTGAGCAGCTGATAATGATACAGTGTATTTTGTTATATAGTCAAATTATGTCTAAAGCGTGATTTAATACCATTGGTTCAAAAGACATATCGATTTTTCTTTTTTTTTTTTTTTTGCTCCGTGTATACTTTAGTATTAAGTACGTCACATTATAAGTTATAAAGTAAATCAGTTTTTAAAAAAAAAAAAATTATTTATGAAGCAAAATTAGCAAAACTACAATTAAATATAATGGTAGATTGCTTGTAATAGACTTAATACTACTTACTGCTTGATATCTGCGCGTATACCGACGACCATAGTGCAATTAACATTACAAGAACGATGAAATATTTACTTTTACGCGACATCTTTACTCTCAGATCCACATCATAAATTGCTGCCGAAGCTTTCGCTCATTCTTATTATCAATAAGTTTCTGGATTGCAGCTCCGACTTTGACGTCAAAAATTTCAAATTCGAAGAAAACCAACTTCACCTGTCGTGAGAACATTTAATGGGACAAAGACTGCACGTTGATAAGCGCAAGGAAAATAAATTAAATTTCAAATTCATCTGAACTATATCACTTCTCATCGATAGAGGAACACATTAAAGTGAAAGGAATACCGGCGATACAATCACTGTCTCGTTGGTACACTTATGATAAACATTCTCCAAGTTCAGATATGAAATTGAGAGAACTTAACTGTACCTATTTCTATGGGAAAATGCTTGGAGCAACCGCAGAATACTTCTCGTTTTGAAAATGAGACGAGTTAAAGCATTTTAGTTGACAAATTTTAGTTACCAACAGAACTATGTATTTAATGAAAGTTTGCCCTAACCCTTGTGCTGACAAGCACACACATGCACTTGTAAGCGCACGCACTCGCTAACACTCACGCTCATAATCAGGGGCTACTGAAATATGCAAAGCTAATAGCGAGTCAAATATTTTTCTAGGACAGATGCCCTAATATTGACAAGAGCTATTGTCTTCTCACCCGTTCAATATGAGAAAACTCGTGACTGTCTAACAAAAGCACTGAACAAAGCGCGAAGCGGGTGACCTAGCAATAGCAAAACATTTATGCCTGACCTGGAGCATGAAAACATTACGATCAATAATATAGCTATTGAATGTGAACTGGAGTCAGGGCAATTCTTTAACTCAAACAAAAAAAAAAAAAAGAGTCACGATAGCGGCGCGTCATTTTTACCTCGTCTGCCCGTTGACATTAGCGCAGCGTCTCATACAGGTAAGAAGTGCAGTTGTACCGTGCAAGGTGCTTAATATTTTTTGGTGTTGATAATAGTATGCGGTATATCTTTTAAGCATTCCCGTACGCCTCGAAAGGCAAAATCTGCAGAATCTGGTGACTTATATGTACGAGCATACGTGGCTTGCTCGGCCCAGATGCGACTGGTGAGGGTGTGGCATAATAAAATTTTTATCTTTTTAAAGATTTAAGGCGTTTCAATCCAAGTCCTTATCCGCTTAGCTAATGCTGAGAAAAGCAAGAATTACAGAATTCTTATGAATCTTGTTAAGTACGTCGCATAGCTTGCTCGGCATACTGCAGTTATCCGAGTGATTCCGGTCTAGGAAAGCCCTGCATGGGCATCAATGCTATTCCGAATGTCCAATCACTGCAATGCAGTTAGTGAACCTCAGTCATTTTATAGAAAGATAAAAAGAAAAAAGAAGAATACGCACGAGTCTATTCAGTTCAGGTCATGCAAGGAGGATAAGTTGAGATCAGCTCTATTAGCATTTCAGTGCCACACCTTGGGATGCTATATGAGTAAATCACCTGGGATAAAAAATGCTACTTGTTGTTGGATTACTGTTAAAGTTGGTGACTTACTGTATATTATCGACCATCTTAACTGTGTCCTCCATGCTTAAGTTAACTGTTTTAGAGAAAACAGCTGGTTTGCAGGACACCTTGATGTTCAATAGTCAACGCAGAGTAGAGCCTAGATTTAAAGATATTGCACTTGTGTTGCTGAATGAAACCCTCTCCTCTTCAGCATTTCGATCGGTGGCGTTTAGAGAAGTTTAGAGAAAAGTGGTGAATGGAAAGCGTGTGTGCGTCTCTCTCTCTCTCTCTCTCTCTCTCTGTGTGTGTGTGTGTGTGTGTGTGTGTGTGTGTGTGAGAGAGAGAGAGAGAGAGAGAGAGAGAGAGAGACTCTAAGCATCGGATATTCAATCATCCAATACCCTATCAAGATACTCTTTCAATCAATTATCAGTTTTATTTTTAATTTGACAGGTCCAAAATGGCAATTTCGACCAGCTTCCTGTTTCTGGCGTTCACTTGTTTTATGCGTTCAGTGTCCGGCTTGACCAACAGTGAGAAAAACGCTTTCTCAACAGCTGTGACCTTCACCACCGGAGCATCAGATTACACGATCAATAGCACCGGATTACCGGATCATCAAACCAGCTCCGTGAATCCGAACAGTGCAACGAACCAGAATTACAACTACAAGATACCGCGAACACCATCCGGCTCGAACAAATACTGCTTACCAATGGGACCAATCGGAATAGGTACCTGTGTTTTTTTTTCTGTTTTTCATTACGTCATTCCTTTTATGGTCTTGACCTACCAGTTTGTGGCACAATTAAGTCATTTAACGATTTCCAGGAAATCTGCAGTTTGTTTTGAATGAGATGGTTTTTTTATTTGTACAGGATGACCCCCCCTCCCATAAGAAAAAAGAAAAAAACTGAACCCATAAAACGTTTAATTTTTGAATTCTACAAAGCTCCATCGGATTTCAAGAAATGAAATCGATTCCGTTAAATTTATTGCAATGAAAAAAATGTATAGGAGAGGGAGAGTGAATAGAAAAAATAACAGTGAGCCAAAAATTTTAATCAGTTTNCTTCTTTTTTCTCCTATTGATTTTTCCTCCCTTTTCTCTTAACTAAAGTGATTTATAAACCTTCCTCAACGCAGTACATATATACATCACTAGTCAAACATTGCAATTTCTCGTATGGTAGCTGTTTACTCATACATGTATCACATGCGTTACATATATTATGTATTACAGGCACAGCGGACCAACTCATCGCTGTCGCCTTTGACGGTTTCCCAATCTACGGCACCTATGCCTCCGATCTTAATCGCAACATCACGAACGCCGACTTGGACGAATGCCATGGAAGGACCGTTAATGGCCAGTATCGCTACCATGTCACAGCTGAGTGGCCATACTACCTCGGCTGTTTCAGAGGAAGCATTCTCAGCCAACCATCGGGGACAATGTTGAACGTGCCTACCTCGGTCGTTTGTACTAACACAGCAGGTAAGCTACTGACAGTCTGAGACATCCGAAATAGGTACTTGACATACCTGACATAGCCTCATAGACCGACACATTGACACATCTGTCACACCCGCACTCCTAACGCACTGTCACAACCGGTGTAACGAAACTGAGGGTCCGTGTAACAGAAAGTCCGCCCTCCATATAGCTATAATGGTTGGGGTTAGTCTGACTTAAGTGGGTCAAAATCTAAGGCGAGGCTCACCTGTACAAATGAATGGGAAGCGGACTCTCTGTTATGCGGGACTCTCCGTCACGTAACACCAGCACAATGACATAACTAACGTCCAATCATAAATTCACCTAAAGCACCGTCACAAGATATTCAAATTGAATGCCACAGCCCTCTCATCTCACCCATAGCTTTAGGGCCTCTCAGCAATTTTCACTTTCTCCTGAGGAAAACAAACACAAAAAATATCAATTTTTATTTATTGAATAGAATTCATATGTTATTTACAAAAGGAGGAATAATAATAATCTCCCCCTTTTTTCATACTTCAGCCTCGCACATGTGCTCGTGTCCTGACGGGAAAACCTATACGTCCAGTCCGGGTAATAACTGCACCAATTCCGGCGGACAACAGGGTAGCAGCCGCCCTCCCCCGTCCACCACTGTAGGAACGGGCAGCAATGGGAACGGGAACGCTGAGTTTGTGGCATCACTTTATGTCGTCTTTGGGAGCTTCCTGCTTTTTGTTTTTTGAAACAATTCATTTCTTTTTTTTTTTTTTTTGTGAGAAATGTTAATAGTGTTATGTCGGAAGTAACAACGGAGTGAGTTTATTTGATTTTATTTAACCAACATTTAGATTCTTTTAAATGTAGAAAGGTTTAAAACTATAATTTATATATTTCGTCAATTTAAACAGAGTGCTTTACCAACAAAATCGACCCAATGCATCAGGTTGGCATGTCAAAAAAGTCACAGACAATCATATTTTGAGCTGATGGACTAGTTTTATGTCCAATAAGTTAATAGATAAAGGTGAAAAAACGAGTATAGCTATTGTGGAGTCCTCCAGAAATCGCAAATTAGTCGGCGAAGACGGTAAGATCCCTCGCAGGATTATTAGCAAAGCTCGTTTTAGCAAAGATTTGACTTCTTTCTTGGCACAGAACCTGGGAACTTTTTGTGACACAGACACTGAGGCATAATCAAAAACAGAGATGAAGTAGACGGTGCGCTAATACCCAACAGTATTCAAAGATTAAGAAAATCTTCCAAATGTCCAAATCAATCCCCGAATCCTACTGTTTGATTAAAAAAGGGGGCGGAGGCGGATCAAAATACATGTAGTCCTATTAGTATAGACCTTTGCAATAACGTCATACCACCTCCTCTTCTAATTATTGATGTCTTTTTATATATATGGTGCATAATACAACATGTATGTGTGTGCAAATTAACAATATGTACTCGGAAAATGAGGATGTGAATCCGGAAAATGATAAGTGGCAGCTAAGTGAGTGTGTGTTTTCGGGTTATGAAAATAGGTTAGGAAATATTATTACTCGGAGTTAAGTCAATTAACTTTTATTTTGTCATAATGATATGTGATAATACTTACTAGTACGGTAATCATATATAAATAAATATTGATAGCAAATCCTTGCATTACTGAGTCTTCATCATTTCACCAACAGTTTTTAGAAATGACTTTTTTATACTCGCAACTCTTCCGGAGACTGAAAATAGGCTATATCCGAAGCGAAAAAAATATTTACCCCCCAAATGATGGTATGGAGTTTTGCAGGGGCGCATGCAACTATGCGTTTAGGGACAGTCTCATAAATGTAACGTAAACGTTTTTGTGGCTTAGCCGTCTTGGAATGCTGCAGCTGTCCAACGCGCTTCTTGGCACAGCTAACACAATCTGAATAACCTTGTTTTTGGTGTCTCTTGATCGCAGCCCCACCTACCTATGTGTCATATTTGAAAATTCCGCAAGTCGCTAAGAAAGAGTAAATTTAACCAACATGTAGTTTTCAAAGTACTCGTTCAGTATGCCGGTAAGTAAGCTATCTTGTAAATTTCGTTTCTGGTATATTTATTTGCAGTATTCGTTGAGGGCGAATAACTTGATCAGATTTCTAATTACACTGTAATTTACAGTTATAATGAACAGTGGCATAAATTAATCGCTGTCAGATTGAGCCTGACAGTTTCACTGCATCTCGACTCGAGCTTGGGAAAAATTATTTTCATAAATTAACTTCATATGTTCGTGATTATGATTAAATATAAAACCTTTCAACCTATAAAATTCAGTTACTACTAAATCCATGAATCAATGCAAAAGAGAAGCAGTGAACTAAAAAGGTCACCTGAAGATTGAGTTTTATTTATTTATTTATTTATTTATTTATTTATTTATTTAAATCTGACAAATGTCATGAGTATCGTTCACGGAGACAAATTTGGGTATTACAGTATGGTAAATATACTGTGATAAATAATTCCCTATACACACATCTGCACAAAATGAAGAGGAATCACCTCTAGTTTTACATTTTATTTTGGTTTGCAGGAAAAGAAGGATCCCAAGGACTCGGACAATGTGCGGGTGGTGGTAAGATGTCGGCCTATCAACTCCAAGGAGAAAGATTCTGGTTGCAAGCTGACAGTCAATGTAAGTCTTGGGCTTATGTCATGTCATGATGATGTCATGTCAAGCACTTTGGGACAAACTAATGTACATTTTACTAGTACCTACTACTGGCAGGGGCGGATCCAGAGTTATTTTCTGACAGTCTTCCAAATTATCTTTGTTGATCCATCCTCCATTTTCTGACCGTCTTCTGAGAAAAAAAAATTAGATACCCGTCAATGTAAACTTGAAAATCTGACCGTCTTCCGGAAGACCCAGAAGATGCCCTAAATCCACCCCTGACTGGGGTAGCGCTAACACTCACCAAATTAGCCAAATGCTAAAACTGACTTAAATTGGCTAAACAAAAAGAGCTCGTTTTGACTTGTTTCAGTCAAATTATAACCTATTGGATAACAAATTGACAAAAAAATAGTGATTTGGTTAAGAGAAAAAGAATTGCTAGCACTACCCCAGTTTAATTCAGTTCAATAGTAGTCCTAAAAATGAAATTTAGTGCTTGCTAATTTTTATAACAATTGAAAAGGATGTGTTTTAGGCCACTAGTTACTGTTACCCAACTATTTCTGTTTATAATTAAGATTAGCTTTCTATCCTAAGTTCTTATGTTAAATTGGCTTCAGAAGTAATTTTACTTTTGAGGAGACGGAAATTGATTTGGAATCATTAAATCAACGTTAGTCCTACAACATGGAGATGTATCACTCTGAGTCTGTCATAACTATAGAGGTCCAATAATTTATATAGGCTACTAGGGTGCAACATTTCTCTAGTAATCTGTTCTTCTTCATCGTCTCTTCTAGATTGATGAGGTCCGAGGTACCGTCACAGTTCAAAATCCCAATGCTCCCCAGGGGGAGCCACCCAAGGTGTTCACCTTCGATACGGTGTTTGGGATGGAGTCGAAGCAGGTGGACGTTTACAACCAGGCGGCCAGACCCATAGTAGACAGTGTACTAGAAGGATATAATGGTATGGGGAAACAGAAACATGAACTTTTAATACTGCTACAATGCCAGTGATCTTTGTACTATTCTTTTATCATGGAAAATTTGAAAAAATGAGGAAAATTGATGATTTATGAGTGAAAACTGACATTAGAACTTACTGTATGTTATTGTAAAGATTGCAAATATTGTAACAATAAGAGTTTAATGAAATGGAGAAACCAATTTTTATAAATTCTTATATGATGGTATTTTGAATTGTAGGCTGAATTTTGTTACAACATTATAAAAAATATTTTAATCTACCATATAATGTGAATAGTTGAATTTTTAGCACACAGTCAAGTTGAATCATAAGCTGGGGTATCGCTAGCAATTTTTTTCACTTAGCCAAATCACTACATTTTTGTCAATTTGTTATCAAAATGGTTATAATTTGGCAAAAAACATGCCAAATCAAGCCCTTTTTCTTTAGCCATTTTAAGTCAGTTTAAGCATTTGGCTTAATTGGCGAGTGTTAACGCTACCCCAGATAAGAAAATTGTAATGAAACCAGCATTAACATTAATCTTTAAGCTTAAATTGGTAAGAACATACTTTTAGAGTGTGTTTTGTATAATGCAGAGTGTTTATAATACCCCTTGGAATTTCAGGCACAATCTTTGCATATGGTCAGACAGGCACAGGGAAGACATTCACTATGGAGGGTGTCCGCACAGTCCCGGAGCTCAGGGGGATCATCCCTAACTCGTTTGCCCACATCTTTGGTCACATGGCAAAGGCAGAGGGAGACACTCGGTTAGACATAAATATATAATTTTTTTTCTTAAACGATTGAATCCAAAAAAAGGAAAAGTGTGTGTGTGTGTGTGTGTGTGTGTGTGTGTGTGTGTGTGCACTTATATGAATGTGATTGCATCCACTGAAAGTTCTGTTCAGTTTTCCTTTAAAATTGTATACTTATGGTCAAGAACCACTTATTGTAAGGTATTTTATAATTGTTTGTAACTGTGTGTGTGTGTGTGTGTGTTCATTACTATAAAAGAATTTCATTTTTGTTTTTCTATAATTACCATTATGTGTGAGTGATCAATCCCCTAAAGTTCACTTTGATATATCTTACAAATTGTGTCTTTAAAGTTAAGGCAAAACACTTTTACTGTTAGGAGCTTTATGTTTGAAGTTTACAGAAAAAAAGTTTTTTTCCCTAGAATCAAGTCTCAGAATCTACAACTAATTTATGTAAACGTTTTTCCAGATTTTTGGTCTGTGTGTCTTATCTGGAGATTTATAATGAAGAAGTTAGAGACTTGCTAGGAAAGGATCAGAGTGTCAGACTGGAGGTAGGTAGAGGGTTAAACATTTTTTTATGTTTTGGATAATGATAAATAGTGATAGGTGTATATGTGTGCATGAAAATCTTTCAAGTAATATTAATGTTGGAAACTTCTGAAAAACGATCTTGTTTTAAAAATGCCATATGCTGATTATGTACTGTTATTAAGTTGGTAAAGGTACTGCTACGAAATTAGTATTTTGGCTTTGTGGTTCTCCATGTAAGGACAGAATGTTTTAATTGATTATTTATTTTATTGTTATTATTGTTATTATTTTTTATTTTTGAATAAATTACATTTATTTCCTATAAGACAAAATGGGATTTGCACAAATTAAAAATGAGCATTGACTCATACTTCCAGGTCAAAGAGAGGCCAGATATCGGAGTGTATGTCAAAGATCTGCTCCGCGTCCCAGTCCACAATGCTGATGAAATGGACAGAGTCATGACACTGGGCAACAATCACAGTGAGCAGAAGAATATTGATTGCATTAATATTTTAATTAAAAAAAAAAAAGAAATAAGCCTAGAGCCTCAGAAATATATAAAGTTGTATCTTGGCATGTTTGAAACTGTGTTGTTATTTCTGGTAAATTTTGGGGTTGGAGGAGCAAAAAAAAAATACTTGTGCTCCTACATTTTCTGATAACCCAACTGAGAAGACTGAAAGATGGAAAGTAAACAAAGGAGAACAGTGGACACAAATTCATTTCAGCTTAAAGATGGATAGATTAACTATAAAAAATTACAATGCATTCAAATGTGCTAATTATTTTTGTTTCTTAAAATGCGTTAAAATGTGCTATTTATTTTCTTTCAGGATCTGTTGGGGCCACACAGATGAATGCGCACAGCTCGCGTTCGCATGCTATATTCTCTATCACCATAGAGTGCAGTGAGAAGGGTCTTGACGGTGAACAACATGTTCGTGTGGGGAAACTGCATCTGGTAGATCTGGCGGTAGGTTCCATTCGTACACTTCAGAAAATATTTAGTGTTATCTATAATGATGTTACTAGAAATAATAATGAGTTTGCATTCTTCACATTCATTTTTGCGCTGTTGGGAATTTGCCTTTGACATGATCAGAAAAATGAAAATGATAATGATAATGAAGATGGAAGTGAAATTAATACATAAAAATATTTTATTGAAGAATCAAAGCAAAAATAATTGTGGTGAGATCCTATAAGATGTATTATTCTTACACGTGAACTGTCATATTTTAGGGCTCTGAGAGGCAGACAAAAACTGGTGCATCTGGCCAGAGACTGAAGGAAGCCACAAAGATCAACCTGTCTCTTTCCACCCTGGGGAATGTCATCTCTGCCCTTGTGGACGGCAAAAGCACCCACATCCCGTACAGGAACTCCAAACTGACACGGCTTTTGCAGGACTCACTCGGAGGGAACTCCAAAACAGTCATGGTATACTTTTATCATTCCCCTTTAGTGTTCAGGCTTTTTTCTTCTTACTTATGAAATGGTGTATTTCTTTCTGAACTTGATGTGAGAAGGACTTTGACATTTCTTTCTTACTGAACTTAATGGAAGAAGTTTTTATCTTTTTGGATCTAACCTGTTCATTTGCCACATGTCATACATCTTGGGTGTCTTAGATCATAGGTGATCGTCAAGACTTTGAGTTAATTCCCACTCTGTCAAAGTTAGTAATAATCATATATCAGTCAATTTTAACAGAATTAATAACACTAATTGAATTCAGATTGCTAACTGTGGTCCAGTCGATTACAACTACGACGAGACCATCAGCACACTGAGGTATGCTAACAGAGCCAAGAACATCAAGAATAGCGCCAAGATCAACGAGGACCCCAAAGACGCTCAACTCAGGAGACTTCAACAGGAGATGGAGGAGCTGAAAAAACAGCTGGAGGAAGGAGGTGAGATATGAAACTGCTTTCTGGATTGCCTTAACTAGATGTATGTAGAGAATAAGATATAGAGATAAATATATATAAATAAGTATTGCACTAATCTTAGTTTTATTTTTAGAAAATTTAATATTAGTTTAAAACAACAGAATGAATCAGAACTTACATTTTGACTTATAGAAATTGTTATTCTTATGAGATTACAAACCATTGGGTGTAGTAGAAAAACAGCTTCATAAAACTAAAGAGCTGTTTATTTCTCTATTATGATTAGATTATGAAGGTAAGCTAGAAGTGATCAGTTCTTTCATTTAGCTTCATTCCATGCAATTTAATTGAGAGCTTCTCCAAAAATTCAGTTTTCAGCAGTGCAGTATTGTATCGTTTCTGCTGTGAATCACCTAATTTGAAATTCCTAAATTGTCATGCCTTAAGTCCAATAGTCTTATTGATTTTTCTTCATTTTTGTGTCTTTGTTTATTTTCCATTGCTTCTAGTTATTTTAATTAAATCAATTTTTCTTCCAGCAACATAGCATCTGTTTATTATCTCATGTTGCTTACTTTTTACTTTGCACAATTTTGATATTCTCAAGTGTGTAGACTTTATATTGATGATATTTATTTGTGTCTCCTTGTCGATCAAGTTGCTTACTTAGAATTTTGCCACTGTCATGAGTAGAAAACATAAATGTTGACAGTTTTCTTTTCTTTTGTGCGTTAAGAGAAAGCTAGACACAATGTAGCTTAATTCCAGCATTGTTCCTTTATATCCTTTAAGAACACATTTTGTCTCCCTTGCTTTTCATGTCATGGCTACCGCAGGCACTGGAGGAGGTAAAGCTATTGGACAACATGATATTTAGTTGTAGTAACTGTGTGTCGCAAAGCAGTTTGTTGTCCTGCTTTTAGTTGACTAGATAGTCAGATGAGCAATTAATTATATGCAAACTGTAGTCCAGATGACGATCCACTAATCTTATTAAGGAGTGATAAACATAATTGTTTTACCAATTTGAAAGTACAAATGTAATAATCAACTAAGAGATAAAATAAAGACAATTCTTGGTGAAAACTTCTGATTTTTATGCTGTGAAATGAATCAATGTTTATTTGAAGACAGAGAGAAAATTGTTTTTCAGTTTCCAAATTCTTTATGTAATATGTCAGTAATTATAGTGGAGATAAAATCGTGTGTTTCATAATCTAATCAAATGTATTACAGTTAGATAGATCCAAAAACATTGATACTTGTTTAAACTGAATTTTTGAAAGTTGAAAAAAAAGCAACTAACCACCAAGCTTTTCAAACTCACAAATAAAAGGGGTGCAACAATTATACACATTAGATATGTATTATACGTAAGTATTAGAAACTTGGTTGCATGCTCTCATTAGAATGCATGAAGATTAAGTTTTTATATTTCATGAGTAGATTATTTAAAATGTGTTTTATTATTTGATCCACATAACCCAAAAGGTTTGAACTAATGTAATTTATGAGCTGAAATTTACTAATGACAAATTTACTATGCCAGCAAAGCAAACTGACATTACTTTTAAGTTATAGATGTGATCTTTCTCAAATGCATAACAAAAGAGCTTTCAGTAAAGGAGATGTGCATGTGTTAAATGTACTGGTATTCATCAACTTCTATGTGTATCTTTACAAACTGACTTCAAGATGGCATACAGTGTTTGCCAACTGCTGAAAATATTTTACTCTGGCCTATGTATCTGTAATCATTTTTCATCTTAAATGACTTATTTCAGTTAGAAAGAAATTGGAATCAGATAAGCCTTTGCAACACTTGGTTAAAAACATGTAGAGCCCAATTTACACATGCTAATATAAGGCCGCACTCAGAACTGTAGACTAACTAGTCAGAGGGTCAAATATGGCTGACCCACTCGAATACTTCCCCACGAGGAATCTATTCAGTGCCTATGAGCGGATTACACAACAAGCTTTTTGATGGGTTTCCATATTTGACCTGGGGACTAGTCAGTTCACTGTTCTGAATGCGGCCAAAATGTCAAAACGATTCCTTTGTGAGATATCATGGTGATTAAATATGATGTATATAGAAAAGTTTTTAATGACAATTTATGATGTTCAACACAAGTACTTGTACTATATGTTAAGTGTGTGGATGTGGATGCAGGTACCATGTAAGAAACTGTAAAATGTAAAAAGATAAGATATGAAAGAAAAAGATGAAATATTTTCTTTCCCTTGCAGGGAGTGGTGATGAGGAGAGTGAGTCAGAGGAGGAGTCAGAGGAAGAAGAGGTGATTGGGGAAGATGGAGTGAAGAGAATGGTGAAGAGGAAGAAGAAGAAAGGTTTGTATTTTCTGGATTGTATTTTAGAACTTATTTGATATTCTTTATACTTACAACATTTTATGTTATTGAACACAATGTTTACCTTTGCTGAATTATATACATTTTTATTTTTTTATCACAAAGTTAGCATATCCTTTTCTAAAGCAAATGATACAAAGTTCATTTAAAAGTTGTCTCTTTTTATTCTCAAAATTAAAAAAAAACACTTAACAAAATGGATCAACAAGAGGATCCCAGAAATTTGGAAAGATTCTGCACTTATTTTCTCTTTTTGAAGGAAAACGTGGAAATAAAGGAATATCTAAAGAAAAGATGGCAGAAATTGAGGCAAAAATAGAGGCAGACAAAAAGATCCTAGAAGAAAAGAAAGACATGGCAGAAGAAGAGAGAAACCAAGTGAAGAAGGACTTGGAAGAGAAGGAGGCTGAATTGAAGAAAGCAAGGTAAAACTATTCCCCACTCATATTTAGCTGTATTGTATGCTACTCATTTGCAGATAAATATTACACAGTTCTCTCTGTTACAATCTTTTCTCTGAATCTGTTTCCATGTTATTTATTTTTCACTTTGTGAAAAATTAAGATATGGTAATGACTTTTCAGTGAGGAAAAACTTACGATTTTTCAGATACATAATTTAAAAATCATTAAAAATATATTTTTGTGTAGCATCTGTTTTGCTTTTTCTGTATACAATACAGCTATAAGGTAGCCGGTTTATCAGTTTTGTTGCTATCACTCAAAAGGTTTTAACTTAAAGAATTTATGACTTGGAAAAAATATAGTATGTGTAAAATTTTTTAATTTTCCCCATTGAAATTTGAGTGATAACTGTATAATTTTACAGTTTGTAAATAATTGACATTTAACCGTTTTGTGAAATTATGTGAATAATGTCCCAAATACTGATTTGATTACATATAGTGCTGACAGTTTCAGTTTCAGTTTGTATTGAATACCATTGTTACCTTTCAGTGAAGAGCAGCAAGCACTTGCCCAGCGCCTCCAAGCCCTGGAGAAGAAGGTGATTGTTGGTGGAGAAAACCTGCTGGAGAAGGCAGAGGAACAGGAACGGCTGCTGGAGGAGAGTGCCAGAGAACTGGAGGAGAGGAAGAAGAAAGAAGATGCGCTGAAAAAGGCCATTGAAGAGAGAGAGGTGAGGGAAGATTGATGTTGGATTTTATTCAAGAACCATTATAGATACATTGAATGCTTAGTCACTATGTGTCATTTTATTAACAATAATGATTTTAATGCTTTCAAATAATTTTTATTGTGAATTAATAGATGACAAAAATTAATGAAAAAATACAGTTTTCCAGGCAGCATATCAATTCTGTGTTTTTTTTCTTATAAGTTCTCTATGAAGACCCAAAACTTAATCTAAATCATATTTTAATAACTGTCCATGAAGTTATAAAATTTACATGTATTCTTTTTCTAAAGATAAATTTTCTAAAGATGAATTTACCTGTACATATGTATTTATTTGTTAAGGCTGAGCTTTCTAAACCTCATAATTACCAGTATTTCTTCAACTTTCCAAGGCTGAGCGTCTAGACATAGAGGAGAAGTATTCCAGCTTACAGGAAGAGGCAGCAGGCAAGACAAAGAAACTGAAGAAGGTCTGGACAATGCTCATGCAGGCAAAATCAGAGGTAAGATCTGAAACTGGCTTTGCAGGGAAAGGCATTTACTTTGGAAGTGTGAAATAAGATTATTCTGCCTCACAGTTGACTCTAAAGTTTCCTAGTACCATTAGATTGCTTTCACGAATAATTGACTGCAACTTGTCCAGACCATGGAGCGGTAGACTTGGAGTTGGAATAGTCACTGGTTAGAAGGAAATAGTGCAGATAGGATTTTTTCCTCTGGTTGTAATTGAAAATTTAATGTTTCTGGGCAGCTTTCTATCATAATACTACCAATTAATACATTTCTCTCTTCTTTAGTCTAATAACCCAGTGTCATGTCTGCTAGTGTAAATGATTACATTTGTTTAATAAAGAATTAAAACAATCGACAGTTTCTATCTTTGAACTGAGAACTGTATCTACCTGCACTCATTAAATACTGTTTATGTAATTTCCAGATTGCTGATCTTCAACAGGAACATCAGCGAGAGATGGAAGGACTGTTAGAAAATGTCCGCCAACTGAGTCGCGAGTTACGACTTCAGATGCTTATTATCAACAGTTTCATTCCACCAGAGTATCAGGTATTTTATTGTATAGTTATAAGTTTTTAAAGTTTTCCTAAAATACTTTTTTGAAAGTTTTATTATTTATTTATTTATTTATTTTTAAATGACTGTACCCATCAGTAACAGTTGCCTCATCCTGTGGGCAACAATATTGCATTAATTGCCATGTTGGGTAATAATAAGTTATGCTATAAACTGCAGCAGTGTAACCTCATAAACTCCCATGTAGACAAGTTGTGGAATGGTCTTCGGTCAATCTAGACTTTAAAAATCATATTTGAGGCTTCATTTAGCATGAAATATTTTATATTGTAGGAAATGATAGAACAGTATGTGCACTGGAATGAAGATATAGGGGAGTGGCAACTGAAGTGTGTGGCCTACACTGGAAATAATATGAGGAAACAGACACCACTGCCTGAGAAGGAAAAAGATAAAGTAAATAAAAATATAATGATAATAATTTGTCTTTTAGAAAGTCACACACAGTATCCTCAGTGCAGCTTACATAAAACCAGACATAAATATTGTGTTTCTTTGACTGCTGCAAAATATAATGTAATGATAAGCATATATTAACAAGAAGCTGAAATATTTTAACAAGCAAAGTGTGTTACATATTGTAAATGTCATGTCATTATGATAAATATACTTACAATAATTGTTGAAATAATAAAAGTGATAATTATTATTATACAATTTCAAGGGTTTTAAAAATGAAATAAACATTAACAAAATGGCATTCATTTGAATTGATTTGAAGAATTTAAAGAAGTACATGTAAGTTCATGTGATCTCATAATTTGATAATTATTCTAGCTTGCAGATTTTGACCTCTCTCAAGTCTACCTAGCCTACTCTGCAGAGAGTGCTGAAGAGGCCATGAGACCAAAGACTGCTGGGAAGGATCGACCCAAGACAGGCCGACCCAAGTCTTCAAGAAAGTAAGAAATTCAGCTTGATATTTCTAAAAAAAGAGATCTTGGTTGGTGGTAATTTCTGCAGGTCAAAATGTTCCTTTCTGTTCATCTCCATCTATCCTTCAACTGTATATGAAGTGATTTATCCTTATGCCCCTATAGCCCTATATATGAAAGGAATTGCATTTTAAAGGAAGCATTCGTTGAACCTGTTAACTAGTGTAATAAGTAGGTATCCGATGACATATACAATGATCAAAATGATGGTATTAGGGACATAAGTTATTATTATGCTTGCAATTTTGAATGAAGATCAACTTTAAAAGAATAATATAATACATACAATCACCATATAATATTTAAGCAAGTTTTAATTAAAAAAAATACTTTTTGAAATTCTTTGTTTGTATTTCTTTAATTTGTTATTGCTTTTTTCATTTTAGGAAGAGGAAAGAAGCAGATATTGATTCCCTTCTCCAGTAGTTAGAACAAAATAACAGGAATTTGACCCATTTCTCACTTGGAAGAGAAACAGTACACAAGCCGTCTAGATATTGCATTTAAGATTACCCCATCATTGCCAAGTTACACCAGAGTGCAACTTATTTGTGGTTTTTAAAAACATTTTGTGTATTAGCATATCTCTGTTAAATATAATAGTGCTCACTGGCAGTTTTAAATGTGTTGCATGATGTATTGGTGTAATTGTACAGTTATGAACTAAATATATGTAGCTAACTTTATTTAACTATGGTGTTTGTGACAGAATTGCATGTGAATAGAGAGAGCAATGTGATAAATTATTACAGTTCATTTATTTATTATTAGTGACCGTACAATGATAGTACAGTTTTATTTATGTACTGTCTTACATCTAAGTGTTATCCAACAACAAATACTTAAATTTTCACTGTATGTTTCAAGGTTTATCTTGTAGTTATAGGTATTAAAGACTTAAAGGCAATCTGTTTTCACTGACAGTAGCTGGTATTGCCTGAACTCTGAATGAAATTAAATAAAAAAACTTGTTGCAAACATTTATTCATATACAACAAAAACTTACAAAATTAATTTTTTTTTTACAATTGATTAATGCCACATTTTCTTTGTTAATTATTGTTACTTTTAAACATATATTTTTATGTACAGGCACAGATGTGTCTGTACATATTGCCATCACCTGCGTCTGTCGTCGCTGATGCCGTCGCGATGCCAGTGCCGTGCACTTTCAATGTAAACATGATAAGTGGAAGACAGTTTTACTTTTTGGCTTTATATTTACAGAGCTGATGAATATTCATAAAATGCAGGTCAAGTTCGAAAATTGGCATGATCAGGCCACTATTTTAGTAGTTGTGCTGTTTTTTTTACTTTTTAGCATATATGCAACACTGTAAACACAATATAAGAAAAGCAGATTGGCCAGTTGTCATTAAACTCACAGGAGTGGTCAATCTTAGTAAAATGCAGGTCATTGTTTTAGAAGTTATGCTGTTTTTTTCACATTTCCTCAAATTCAATTCTTAGGCATGTTAACAGTCTTATTATTTAACTAATAAGATACATAAAAGAGTTTGTTTGACATTTCCTGCATCTTTACAACATTGTTAGTTGATTATGTAAAAATGATGGTAAACTTGTTATCGTGTAATAAAGTGTCAAAAATGGAAATAAACTCATATCATTGCAGTTTGTCAGATTCAATCATCCAGTATGTTCAGAATCTTAGAATGGAAGAAATTGGACATTTAACACTATTCTATTGATATTTTTCCCATCTCATCAATTTTCTTAGTTGATCATATAATAATGGCAGTAAACTGTTAATTTTGATTTATGTAAAAAAATTGTTAAAAATGGAAAAAAAACATTTCAGAACAGTGCTGTCTTGTTTCACATTTCCTCAGATTCAATTCTTAGGCATGTTAACAGTCTCATTATTGAACTAATAAGATAAGTAAAAGTGTTTGTTTGACATTTCCTTCATCTTTACAACATTGTTAGTTGATTATGTAAAAATGATGGTAAACTTGTTATCGTGTATTGTGTAATAAAGTGTCAAAATGGAAATAAACTCATATCATTGCAATTTGTCAGATTCAATCATTCACCATGTTCAGAATCTCAGAATGGAAGAAATTAGACATTTAACACTGTTCTATTGATATTTTTCACATCTCATCAATTTTCTTAGTTGATCATTAAAGAATGGCAGTAAAATGTTAGTTTTGTTTTATGTTAAAAAAGTGTTAAAAATGGAAATAAACCCATTTCAGAACAGTGCTGTCTTGTTTACATTTTGGCATTTTTAAGGTGTGACTTTGAAGTTCTATGGGCCTAAAACCTTTGTTAGTCACGTTTTCTGTTTGTCCATGATACTAATATTTTATTTTTAAAAATTGATGGTCATTATGCTGTTAAACATTATGTAATGTTGCATCAAAATTTGAAGAAACACCTATTTTGGGCACTGCTCCCATGATGACCATTTAAGGAAAACCATGTCACTTACTGTTCTCAAACTTACAGGAAAGAAACATGGGACGAAAATACAGCTTTGGTAGGCAATGCAGTCTGTTTGGTAATTCTTCCTGGCAGTTAAACATTTTTTTGTAAAAAATTAATTTTTCACAAATTGGCATTTTCAAGGTGTGACTTTGAAGTTCCATGGTCCTGAAGACCTTTGCTGGTCACATTTTCTGATTATCCATGATACTAATATTTTATTATTAAAAATTGATGGTCAATATGCTGTTAAACATTATGTAATGCTGCATCAAAATTTCAAGAAACCCCTATTTTGGGCACTGCTCCCATATTGCCAAATTTAGGAAAACCATGTCATTTACTGTTCTCAAACTTACAGGAAAGAAACATGGGACCAAAATCGACTTTTTTACACATTGGCATTTTCAAGGTGTGACTTAGAACCACTACAGGCTTGAAGACCCATGCAAGTCACATTTTCTGAAAATCCATGATACGTATATTTTATTATTAAAAATTGATGGTCATTTTGCTGTTAAGCATTATGTAATATTGCATCAAAATAGAAGAAAACAATTTTGGGAGCTGCTGCCATGATGACCATTATGGGAAAACCATGTTACTTATGATTGTTAAACTTTCAAAAAAGAAACACAGGAATAAAATGCAGCCTGAGTTGAAAAAGCAGTCTAATTGGCTTCTATTTCTTGAAGTTATACATTTTAGTGAAATATTCATTTTTATCGTGTTGGCATATTCATTGTGGGACTCAGAGCTCCCATGGACATAAAGCCATATGGTTACCAAATTTTCTACATGTCCATGCTATTTATAGTCAATAATCAAAAACTGATAATTATTCTGTAATTTATTATGTAATGTTACATCCAAATTGACCAGCTCAATTGGGTTATCATTTATTATCGAATTTATGCAATTTTGTGTAAAATTTTTTATTTTTTTCATTCTGACACTTTCAAAGTGGGAACTCTCATGGGCCTGAAGCCTTAGGCTTGTTACACATTTTACTTACATTGGTATTACCTGTTGAGCATAATTAAAATTTGATATTGAATTTGCAGTTAAGCATAATGTACTTTTGCATCAGAATTGACAGTAGCCTATTTTGTGCATTGTTTTTTCAGCTTTTTGTCTGTACATTTGACAGCTTTGCTGCCTTGTTTTATTTTATTATTATTTTTTTGTATTTATTAAAATTTTGAATTATTGACAATTCTTTAAAACACATTGTACCAAGTGCACAACATTACATAATTACCTTTAGAAAACCTTTTTTTGTCCAGTGTAGTTTAGCTCCTTTTTAGAACGTTTTTTTTTTAAATTTTACACATTGTAAATGAAACTTGAGATGTATATTAGTTATTGGTGTGTAAGTAAACAATTATAGCATCCATGCAAAGCTTGTGGTATTTTGTTTCTGGATTTTTAAATTTAAAATTAATGGGAGTGACACTTGACCTTAGGTGGACAATTGTCTGTAAGGTGGCATCCACATATTTTCACCAGTACAGAGAGCAACCTGATATCATAAGTTTATCATGTCAATATATGGGTAAATATGACACCGTTTAATGGCGACCTGAGACATGTCTATTTTAAGCCTCGGTCACAACCAGACGCACAAATTTCAGGATCGTATGTCCCCTGCGATTTTAGGGTGATGCGGAGGCTGTGGAGGTCGTAGAGGTANCATATAAGGCAATAAAATAGAGCTACATGTATAACTACTACTATCTCTACAACGTTCATGTTCCACTTCTATTACTACATAATAGAGAGCTTTCGCACCTGCACGTTTAGGCGACCGACTACATTTAGCTATCCGTAACCGTAAAGTGATCAACGTTTATTTTTTCGTGATTTCGCAGAAAGGCCCGGCTAGCCTTTACGGATTGTACAGTAGGCTGATGCATGTTTCACATGCTGTAAAGCCTCGGTCACAACCGGACGCACGAATTTCAGGATCGTACGTCCCCTGCGACGAACGCTAACTGCAAGGAGCGATGGCCGTGGAAATTGTACTCATTTCTTGAGTTTGTCTTTCTTCCTGTGTACGTGGCACACACCCACCACTAACGAAGGGAATGCGACGCACGGCGAAAGTAGTGCCCTTTGCGTCAGTTTTGCTTCACACTTGCCTCACACGTTTGTGGTGACGTACGTCAGTTTGGCTTCCTGTTCTCCTCTTCTTTCTTCGTCCTCCTTTTTTCTGCTATGTAAGCTTTTTGAAAATTGTACCTGTTACACAGTCGATGTTCATTGTAAAGACACGAGCGTACACCAGGCCTGGGGGTGACGCACGTGCGACGCATTCCCAGTGTGCTCTCGACTTTGTTCATTAGTTGTGAAGGCGTGCGTCTTACTCAACACGCAAAGGGCACTTGCTCCTTCATTGCTTGCGACGTGTGTTAAGATACTTATAGTATATTACCACCTCATAGAATAAGAATTACTACTTCATGATAGAAGGCGACTTCATTGGTTAAAAAATAAGGACCCTTAGGAGACTTCATAGTATATTACCACTTCGCGGGACATTGTATCCAAACATGTTTCAGTTCTGGTTGGATGTGGAAATTAGGCGTTAAGGTCGATATGATGTTTCATTCTAGACCATGATTTCGAGAGTGCCACGAGTATTTGCAATGGGGGGGGGGGGGGTTGGAGTAACATTACTCACTCACATGATAGTGCGTATTTTATCTCGTTGGAGTTTAATGCTGTTATTTTCATATGTTCTCGTAAATACTCGCGAGATTAACCTCTATAAATAATGTACTTTATTTCAAGAGCTCCGGTCCCGTGACGGAAAGCATAAAGCAAGTTTTTGTTTTACCCATTTAGTTTTGAGATTTTCAGATTTCAGGACGATTAAAAACTGACAATATTTGGACGTTGAATCATGGCTGGTCTGAGGCACTACATGTACAATGTATAAGACAAATGAAATATATAAATAAACACATTGCTTGCCTTTAAACTAGGACATAGAGCTGACCAT